AAGAATGAAAAAAGACCTCTAGCAAAAGGAAGAGGGAAAAATCTTAGATGGGTGACAGGAGAAACAGTCACAATTGCTATGAACAGCTAAAAAGCAAAAGCAAAAGGTGACAGAAATAGGGACAAAATGCAACGTTTCAGCAACTAACATGTAGAGACAAAAAAATTATTACAGCGACCAATGCAAAGAAACAGAAGAAGACAACAAAAGAGGAAAAACAAGAAACCCCTTCCAGAAGATCCAAAAAATGAGGAGGAGGAGGAGGAGGAGGAGGATTGAAACATAGATTAAGAATGCTGAAAAACCAACAGGAGGACATGCTATCTGACCAGGATAAAATGAACAGAATATACAGAAGAGGTTAAAAAGACAAGATCCCATCTAAAAGGAATCCTATGAGGAAGAACTTGCAGTATTAGAAAGTGAAATGAAGCCTGCTCTGAAAGCACTTGCAAGAAATAAAGCACCCAGAGTAGATAGGATACCAATTAATTTCAGAAGATCAGTCTATGCTTTATGGACAAGAGCAAAGCCTTTGACTGTGTGGATCACAAGAAGCTATCAATAGTACTGAAAGAAATGGATGTGCCTCAGCACCTTTTTGTCCTGATGCATAACCTGTATGAAGGACAAGCAGCTACTCTTAGGCTAGAATATGGAGAAACAGAATGGTTTCCTGTAAGTAAAGGTGTCAGACAAAGGTGTATTTTATCTCCCCGTGTGTTCAATCTGTACACAGAGCGTAACATATGGAAAGCTGAGTTAGGATCAGAGGAAGAAGTGAAAATTGGCAGAAGATACTTCAATAATCTAAAATATGCAGATGATATCATTTTAACTAGCAGAAAGCAGCAATGAATTGATTACTCCTGATGAAAGTGAAAGAAGAAAGTGCAAAAGCAGAATTGCAGCAGAATATTTTACAAATTAAAATCATGACTTTTCTGTCAGTGAAGAAGAAATTGACATTGTGAAAGATTTTGCATACCTTGGCTCAGCCATCAAGTCAAACAGAGATTGCAGCCAAGAAATTAGAAGGCTGAAACTTGGAAAGACAGCAATGAAGGAAGTAAAAAAGATCATCAAGTGTGAGGATGTTTCACTGGAGACCAAGGCCAAGTTCACCCACACTTTTCACCATGTATGGATGCAAAAGCTGAATCATGATGCAAGCTAACAGGAGGAGAATTGATGCATATGAAACTTGATTCTGGAAGAGAGTTTTGCAAATATCCTAGCCTGACAGAAAGTCAAACAAGCCAGAACTTTTGCTGGAAGCAAAAATGATGAAACTTCAGGCGTACATGAGAAGGCAAGACACAGTGAAGAAGACAATAATGCTAGGGAAAATCAAAGGCAGAAGTGTAAAAGGAAGACCAAATATGTGATGGATTGACTCCATAAAGGAAGTCACACCCATGAGTTTAAAAGAGCTGAGCAGGGCTGTGAAGGACAGGCCTTTCCGAAGGACATTAATTCATAGGATGGTTATTAGTCAGAGATGACTTGAGTGTACATTTAAGTACTTCTTAATCAGTCTGGTTCAGATAGAAACAGAGGGTCAGAAGGGGTCCCCTGGGCCATCTAGTGTGACCCCTGGCTGCAGTCAGCTCATGACATGCCTACCATGTGATGTAACTTTTCCATGTGCCACAGCGAGTAGGGACATGCAGATGAGCTCCCATTACACTGTTTCTTCCAAGAATAGATGCCATTAGTCAGTGGCCATTCTACCTAGTCACATATAAAACAAGTATATCCGAATTCTCTTCTTTCCTTTTCCATTTCCTCTCTCTTCTTTTATTGGTTATTTTTATAAGATTGTAAACCATTCTAGCAGAGACCTACCACTTTCATGCTTTTCACAGCACCTAGCAGAAGCTGAAGCGTTAAAAAAAGTAATACATTACAGATCTGTGAAATTCATTGTTCCCCAGACACTGCAATGAATAAAAGCTCCCACAATTAATTAAGAAAAGAATTGTTGGCTGGTATTATGGTTAATGTGCATGGCTACTGCTGCGATCCTGTATATCAGCCTTCCTCAACCCTTTCAGATGCTGTGGAATACAACTCCCATCAGCCTCAGACATATGGTCAATGGTCAGGAATGCTGGAAGTTGTAATCCAAAAAATCTGGAGGGGGTCGGAATAGGTCTCAGTAGAAATTCAGTAGGAATTACTTTCGAATAAGGCTGCAACTCTAGATGCACTTATCTCAGAGTTTTTAGCTAACTGAACCACTGAACACAGAGGGACATACTTCCAAATAAACATGCATAGGCTTGTGCTCATAGGTCAGCCTTTCCTAACCTGGTGCCCTTCAGATGTTTTTAATTTCAATTTCCATCAGCTCCAGCCAGCACAGCTTAAGATAAGCTATGCTGAGAGTTTTTGTTTACATTATGTAGTTCACCATGATGTATCCTGTTACACATACTTGGGAATAAGTCCTAAAAAGTCAGTGGGGTTAATAAAAATATCCAATACACCAACCTGTTGTCCTCCAGAGGTACTAAACTACAAGTTCCATTATCCCAAGGCAGAAAAACCATTGCACCCATGGCAATGCCTGCTGATAAGAGGCTGTACTGATGAAGACCCCCACCTCCACCCCCAACATGCTGTCCACAAACAGAGGAAATCAGTGCCCTCACAAAACAATACTGTGTTGTGGATACGGCACTGTCCTTGTAGCACAATACTGTTTGTCCAGTTAAAGAGACTGGATGGCTCAAGAAGATGCTTGTTTTTCTTGACAGCATTTGAATGTAGTGAGAAAAGAACCTGAGAAGCAGTCTGACCACATAGAAGATGGTATGGAGAATGTTAGCAAGAATGGCAACCAAGAACTAGGCCCATACAGATTAAACCATCCCCAAACTACTGTCCTCCAGATGTTTTGAACTCCTATTCCCAACATTCCTTACATCGACCATGCTATCTGGGGCCGATCGTAGTTTCTCAAAAGCATCTGAAGGGCTGGTTGGGAAAGGCTAAGCTAGGATAACCATCTCCTCCAACAAAGGATGTAGAAGTAAGTTCAATTAAAATCAGTGAGACATTTCTAACTGAGCTGAGATGAAGGTGATTTCCCCAAGGTTCTCACATTCATAGCAAGGCCATAAATCTTAGGGTGCCATATGCCCATCCCTCCTCACTTTTTTCCTGTTGTCCTCCACACCTTGGCTATGACAAGCCCCAACTTCCTTTCAACCCAATAAGCACAAATAAACACAAATCTTGACCCAGATCCAACTCTGATTCACGTCTTTCTTGATTCAGTGACGTCAGGTGCCATGTCATATTTTGTCAAATCATCCTCTCTTCACAGTAATGCTATGACTGGGCATTGCCATCAAGCCTTAATTTCTGGAAAACTTCTCAGCTCTCTTAGCAATGACCAGCTCCTTACAGATATTCACTTTAGTTCATCATCTCTCTGATTCCCCACTGACCATGAGGTAAGTGGCACCTAAAAGAAATGTTACTTTCCAATTTAAGCTGAGCAAAAATTGTTGGACAAGGACCTTTTTCTCTTTGTGCCTTCCCCACTAAGTATATGTTTAATATGGATGAGAGATATCTGGGACAGAGGAGAAATTTCTTTCAAATGTGTCTCATATTTCCAGTAACAAGCATCAGTCTACATCTAACAAAATAGGCCTCTGTGGATATGCCAATGAATGCCTGTTTATATTTTATAATGATAAATCAATATCAAAAGCAAAACAAAAATTAAATATAAGACATGTTCAAGATGCAGCTTGGATTGACAAGAAGTCCTGGCAATGGAAAGAGGTTTTGTCAAGAAAGTAAATTCAATAAAAACTTTGTAAATATTCCCATGTGCCTTGCTATAGAATTTGTAGACACAAATTCCTTAGCTCAGAATGTGTGATACTTGCAATTCACTTTCACAGTTCCTAATGGCAGTCAAAATTTCTGAACAGCCACAGAATCAAGAGATTTCTGATCCCTGATTTCAGCTTAAGAAATGTCAACAAATTAGGCTATTGGCATATGAACACCATAATAGTTTTATTTGAAGATGCATTAATTTTCATGTGCAAAACCTCACATTTGTGTGCATGAAAATCCATAACCATCAGGAAATGTTAAGGCCAAAACAGAAAAGCTATGCCATGGTTGAGTCATAAGGTGCAAGGTACATGAAATGAGTAGATGAACCACAAAGCTCTGTACATTGCCTTAAAAAAATAATACAAAAAATTATTTCCTTCTGCTATTAATTTGGCTGAAAAAGTCAGCAGGAGCCCAGCTGCTACAAGAACACTACGAAGTAGAGCTTTGTAGGGAATGACAGATAAACTTTTAAGAAATGAGGAAATATTGACTGCTGACTGCAAAATAGTGACTCTGCTTTAACAGGTGCATACAGGGTCTGCTCACCAAGAAAGGAAATGCACCACCAAACAAGAAAAGAGGACAGTAATTTGCATGATTCTTATATGTGCTGATTTATATACAGAGATGCAAATTTAGAAATAATAATCATATTGTGAACAGAAACGTACAGTGAACGTACACTGAACATCACAGTTCACTGTATACATCACAGTGCATAAGACCCAGTGGCCTGTGTGCTTACCGATTCAATCTACACTTCAGGAGCAAAACTGAATTAGTTTATGATTTAAGCTACAAATGGACTGGACAGTCCTTCCAACAGAGGACCATCCTATATAAAGAGGACTCCTGGACACCCTTAAGTCATAAGCCAAAGCCTATCATCACTGCATCCCCATGCTGACATAACTCAACTGCATTTAATAATACCCCAGCGGTGACGCATCCGTTAAAATCCTGTGCATCTTTGGTCAGAAACAAAATCCTACAACTCCCAGCATTCCTCAGGCAGCCATGCGAGCTGGGGGATGCTGGATGGTGTAGGCCTTTTGTTTCTGCCCGAGCGTGCATAGAATTGTGCCCTTAATAAGACACGTGACTCTGGCTGGAGTCATATGACGAGAAGAAAGCGAACGCGGGGAAACCTCTGTCTGCTCGAGCCCTTGCAGCTGGCGCAAGACTAGCCATGCTCTCCCGGCTCCTGAGGGAGCACCAGGCGAAGCAGAGCGAGAGGAAAGAGCTGCAAGGTGAGCGGCCCAGGGCCTCGGAAGCTTCGGACTCGCGTTAGCGTGACTAGCTTCTGGGAAAGAGCGCAGCACAGGAATGGCGGGCCTTCGCTCTGGGTGTCGCCATAACAACCCCCCCGCCAATGGAACGCCCTTGCGTCAGCTTCGGGCTGTTTCTATTGGTCCAATTGTCCGTCATCGGAGGCAGGAGGGAGGAGCATGGAGTGGCTGCTTTTCTGCTTTTAGAATAAGGGCTATTATCCCTTTTCTTTTCGCTATCCTGTGCACGTAGGAACGTCACAGACCTTATCTCTTGCATTTCAAGGCCTTTGAGCCTCACTCCACCGTTTACGACGTATCTGTGAACAACAACATTAAATAATGAATACTTACTGAGGGCATTGCTCATTGTGCAGCAACAAGGAAATTCAAGAAAATGCATGACAGAGGGAGCATTCCTAGTCTTATGAACTCTCCAGATCAGAAGTATTTTGCATCTGTACTTATTTTCTCCTGGGCATTCTGTAACTTTGTTTGGCAGCAGCCCCTAAATTCCAGATTTTGGTCCAGTGCTGCTTTCCTTTACTGCTTTCCAGCAACTGCTATAAAACTATTAGGACAGATGTAGGTAAACAAGTGCATATTAAGAGCGTTTGCAGGTGGAGCACAACCAAATTCAAGAGAATGTACAGTTATTAGGTCTTTTCTTCATGATCAGATTTTGATAGTAAGAGAAGAAAAAAGACAGAAGGCAGAGTGGGAATATACAGGAGGGTTACAAGTTGAAGATGAAAGCTGGACCCCCTGTAGAATTCCATGAGTGAAGCAAAGTTATGACACTGTAAAATCCTAATCTTTTAAGTGTTCACTGAGCAGGAATGAGCATCTCAGAGAATTCAGAGAAGAGGCAGCACATATATGGAGGTTTAATTAGAGGGCAATAAAGAGGACTAGTAACATGATAAGAGTGCTGGTGTAGCCATATCCATAGTTTGTTCCCCTCCCACAAATGTATCAACTTTTAAGATGATACTGAAGGGCCAACTGTTTCTCTCTCTAGAAAGGAGACGGCGAGAGGCCATTGCTGCAGCCACTTGTTTAACAGAAGCTCTGGTTGACCATTTGAATGTAGGGTAAGTGATATAAGTGGTGCAGAATGACAGCTCCAGTCAGACTTTAATAATTACATGGATGAACATTACTAATGCAGTGTATGAGTTGGAGTCAAATTACATGTTATTTTAAAGGCACAGTATCCCAGTTCAAAGAGCGATACAAAGAGCAGTTGTCTAAATAGTCTATAGGCAGTTACTAGGAGGTCATAAATTATAAGCCAAGGTAGAGAAGAACCATGAGGGAATCCAGGTTAAGTGCCATAAATCTGTTGCCGAAATGTAGAGTCGTAGCAGGAACAAGTTGATAAACAGGAGTTGATTGTTTCAAAGAGCCACACAACCAGAAGGTGGGACACGTTATGTCCCAGTAGTAGATTTCTCTGAAGCAAGCCTTTTATGCCAACTTGGCTGAGCCACCTGCCTCTCCTACAGGGGCAACCAACCTGTGGTTGCTTGCAGTGCCCTGTTCCTGAGCAGAGCTCATTATTCTACCGAGGCCTCAGCTTGCAAGCAAGTGTTCCTTCTCCGTGCTTTCTGCCTGAGCCAGCATCATTCTCTAGGGTTAGCAGGTGATTCATCTTTTGGCTCTGACTGCAAGCTCTCCTGCTGCAGGGGAGGAATGTTGAGGGTCTGCTGAGAGGGTCCCAGTTCCACTGTGGATGACTGTGCTAGTTATGTCTTGAACACTTCCCTCTAATTCCCTGGGGAGGGAGACTCCTGAGTCAAAGATACATCCTCCCTGCCAAAGCAGCATTCTGGCCCGAAGGTAAGTCCACCTTACCTTCTGAAGAACAGTCCTCCCACAGAGGGATGATACACAGCTACCAGCACTCTCACTCCCCACCACCAGAGTAAGTGTGGGAGATATAAGCTGGGTCAAGACCCTAGTATGGTGAGTTGGGTGCGCTAACCCTTAGACCTTCACTGGGATCCCAATCCAGATCATAGCCTGCTATTTGTATTGCCAGAAAATAACTCACTGAAATTAACTTACCCATTTGGAATATAAGCGTGGAAGTGTGTGCTAGTTATTTCTTTAAAACAACCTGAGTTTGATCCTTGGCTTCTGCATTTGGGCTGCAGAATTGCTCCCTAGCAGGGGAATGGTACTGACAAGAAGCATAGTGGCTAAGAGTATAAGTATGAGCTGGGGAATACGCTGGCTCAATCTTCTCTCTCCCACCGTTAATTCGTTAGGTGGCTTTTCACTTCAGCTCCCCATTTGTAAGATGGCGGCCATCCTCTTGACCTACCTTATAAGACTTTGCTAGGGATTGCTGTGAGTCAGTAGCTCTCTGCAGTGCTATATCTATGCTGAGCATTATGTATTATGGCTGTCACTTTGTTGCTTGGAAGCAAAACATGCCTTGTTTGGGGAATGGATGTGACCAAGTTAGGAGTTAGAAGGAATGGATATGGGAAGCTTCTTCTTGGATGTATGGTGAACATTTTTACCATGCATAGTTAGCACAGGGAAGTCCTCCACTCATGATATGGCTGAACCAGAGGGTTACACAGCTTGCTCTTAACGGGGTGGGGGTCCCCAGGACTAGAATAGGGAATGGTAGCAACCCTGAGGGTAGCAGATCCTTCACTGTGTGACTAGCTCAGTCTTGCTTCACAAATAATGTGTGCTTGGAAAATCATTTGTGAGTTAGAAACCATCTGTCTGTCTGTCTCCTACTCCTCCTCCTCCTCCTTGGACATATTAGCCAGGTTCATTAGTGGCAGCTAACTACTGTCCCAGTGCAGATTAACTTCAAGCTGCAGTTCTGAGTCTATAGTAACAATTAAGATGATACCAGAATATGGCATGAGAGTTGGGGGAGGGAGCCTTCAACTTAGCTGTTGCTATGGTCCAAAATAGACACCTTGAGAACCGTGCTGTTGTGTGATTCCCCACTGCCTCTCACAACCTCAGTCTGTAATTGCTGCAGGTTGGCTGCAGTACATGACAGCTACATATGCACTTTGGAAAGGAAACCCTGCACAGAGCTAGAATTGTTGATGCACTTCTCATAATGTGAGAAACAATACTTCCTTTTATCCATGGCTTAGGTCACCAATTTCATGGGATGACTTTGGGTGCTAGCATTACCACAGAGGTAAAAAACTATTCTCTATCCACTTTCTCCACATGAATTATAATTTTATGCACCTCTCCCATGTCCTACCCCTTTATTTGCCTTTTTTCTAACTCAAAACACCCCAAATGGGGAAGTTTCCCAGACCCATCTTAGTCATCTTGGTTGCCCTTCTCTACCATTTTCATCATTATAATATCCTTTTTAAGGTGTTTCCAGAAGTGTATACAATATTCAGTGTAATTGCACCACAATTGGGGATAAAGACATTTAGATATTGGCAGTTTTATTTTCAGTCATTTTTCTCATGATTCCTCATGACTCCATGGTCCTAGTGTGAGGGTCTTGCAGTCTTTAATGGTACAATCCAGCACCCCTTGCCCTCCACGCATGTAAGCCTCTGGATTTGGAAGTCTGATGCATCCAATTGATTGAGCAAAGAGCAACAGCCTCTCCATCCCCAACAGACCCCCTTTTGTCCTCTCCGAGTGCAACCAGGATCCTTCTGCACAGGATGTAAGGGGGTCAGGCTCCATCTTTGGACTTGCAGACCCTCTGAGCTGAGGCTCCTGAAAAACCCAGTGTCTCCCACACAACTTTTGGAAGACATAGGTTTGTGCCATAAACTGCTTGCGACTGAATATAGGGTAAGAGAATTCTTCTCACTAAACTAGTTTGACAGTTTCTTAAACTGTTTCCTTAAGCAGAACCTCAGGAATTGCCTTGACTTAGGAATGTTTGATAAGGTTGTGAGAAGTGCTACTCTAAAAATGTAAGTTTCTAGCTCTTTGTGTTTTGATTAATGTCTTTTTAGGGTGATTCAGCTTCCAAGAAGCCAAAAAAGTGATTGTCAGGGATAATACAGGCATAAATAACATTCTAAGCCTATAACCTAAAGTTGCCACTGTGATCTAACTAGATAGATGGAGACTAGACTGTTTTTGTCTATCGTAATTTAATCTTTGCAGCTGCACAGAAAGGAGATGTCCCCAATGGGAACAGAAGCATGTCAGTGCCTATATCAGCCTTTGCATCAACACGTTTGGACATTACTGGTTTGAAGGATATGGGTTTATCTGGGTTTTGTGAACTGAACTCTTCTGGTCACCTTGTATGTTTCCTCCTGTTGTAATACACAACACTTTTAAAGGAGTATAGAAGTGATAGTAACCCAGTGCTTTTTCTAGCCTATAGACCTTCCTGATCCTGCCTTTCTACAATATTTACAAGGAAAGTGGAAGTTGTTACATTTTTATGGCATGACTCTCTGGTGTCCAGTCTCTGCTGCTGGCGCCATCTAGCTCTGTGGGAGGAGGGAGGTATTTGCCTTGACCACTCGTTCCTACTTCCACAGGGACTGTCTTCCGTGCCACAGGACCACACTGATTGCTCAGGGTGATGGACGAGGTGGCTTGGCAAGCCTCGCTTAGGGCTTTCCCTGAGATATTGCTGCACAGGGTATACAGGAGGGGGAAATGGCTTTAAATATGACTGATGTGTGCACGAAGAGACCAGTGGTGGTGGTAATTGTTATTACATTTGTTGATCTGTTTTCAGATACTATTACTTATGTGCTAAGAGCATGCACTGATTGCACCATCCTATTTCCCGCCTGCTGTTTTGAAGCAGGAATTGCTTTAGCGTTCCCAAGCTCTTGCGATATTAAGTGCCCTGGGAAAGTTACTTGTGTTCCAGCTGCATTGTTTCTAGGCCTGAGGAGCAGGGCGGATGCCTTGCTCTGCTCTGACCAATCAATCCTGTTGATTCTGTTGCAGCTCAGAAGCTGGGAAGCAGCAGGGGCTTCACACCTAAAGCTGCAGCGGTGGCCTGGCAAGACACATGCTGACTGCGCTGTTCTCAGCTATTTTAACTTGACCTTTATGCAGAAAATCTCTGTAGTTGCACAGAAATGAGGTGCTCATGATTGGAACAAAAGTATAAATCAGCCAATAACAGTCTTCTCCAACCTAGTGCCCTCCAGATGTTTGAACACAACCCCTACCCTGTTGGCCATGATGGCTTGGGAGTTGTAGTCAAACATCTGGAGGACACTAGGTCGTGAAAAGCTGTATTGTTCTTCCTTTTTCCAGGTTCTGCATCTCCACCCCTCTAAAAGTGGAGATGATAATTTCCAATATTGTAATGTTATGAGCAAGCTTTCCTTTTTCTTTGAATACCTTTTTTCTAAAAGCAGAAATACTAAAATTGTTTCCTTGGTGTTGTTTTAAAAGCATACCATCATACTAAGTTGTATCCGCTGTCTCTTCATTTCTGAAGCAAATCCACTATAGACTTAAACCTGAATGTTTTGATGAATCAGGGCATCTTCTACACCTACTTCTCGGATTAGTTATTTTTCCTTCAACTAAGACTTATTGAAACACAAGCAGACAAGATACTTCTTTTGTCTATAGTTTATACAAATATGCAATTTGTAAATATGCACATTTTTGTAAATGTGCAATACTATCTTTCTGGGGGGTGGGGGTTTACCACTGTAAGACCATTTTAATGATGACTTCTATCTAGTGGGCAGAAGGTAAATCTCCGTATGTTTTGGGCTTCAGTTTCCATAGGCCCCTAGCAGCATGGCCAGTGACTAGGAATGTTGCAAGCTGTGTGCCAAAACATTTCAAGATCTGCCTTCTGCCCAACCCTGACTCCCTGGATACTGTCCAAAGCTTCCACAAATCTGCACCCCTTTTTTCAAACTTCCTTCTCAGAACCAGAAATAGTGAAGAACACCATAGTCTTCAGATATAGTTATTTATTAAGTTACTCATTCACTTACTTCACTTGAATATCCCAGGTACCCCTTAAAATGGGGTGGGGGGAGGCACTCAACCGACATGGGCAGACCTGTCCTCTGGAGCCATGTTCACTTGGTAATCTTCATGCAGCAGAGTTTCAACATCCTCTCCGCTCTTGGCCTGAGAACTCCTCAAAGGGAGACTTGCCTCTCTGCCTGCAGCCCTCCAGCAACACACTTGTTACGGTGTTTGCTTTTTTGCCATCTTACAAGGCAAGAGATTCAGGTTCTAGCCCCCTCCCAACCATGATAGCCCCCAGGTGACGCTGGGCCACTCGCTTCCTTAGACCCTAACCTATGGTACAGGCTGGTTGAGGATAAAATGGAATGGAGGAGCCCTGTGTTGGGTTCCTTGCAAATGGAAGAAAGGTGGGACAGAAAAGTAATAATACTGTAATAATCCATTTGCAGAACAGGTCCTGGCTTGAAATAGCAGCTCACACTTCCCAGGTCTCAGGAGGCATAGTGAGGTGTGGAGTAGAGAGGTATCAGTGCACCTAAGAAGGAGGGTGATGGTGACAGGATGTTTCCTATTGCTTCTACAGGCCACCTGGGGGCAAATGGTTGGTGGAACTGCATCAAGCCTGTGGCTGTATGCCCGACCCCTGGATGGCTTTCCAGGGGCTTGTGGTAAAGGGACCTGTGTTCTGTGCTGGGCTTGAGCTTGAGCTTAGAATAGAAGAGGTACCATGCTGGGTACAGTGCTCCAGGGTTTTCTTTCTTTCTACTTGAAGAATGGCCACATGGTCCATTTTCCTCTCTGTCCTGGACCCTCAAATATCTACCCAGGCTATGGGAACAGATGGGAAAGTATTGCCTCTGCTACCTGCAGGTAACCTAGCCGAGCAAAATATGCCATTTCTCCATCTGTTGACTGTATATAGTTCAGGTGTCCTCTCATGGGTAAGTAGTTTTGGAAGGATTAGTGCCAAGCTTTTGAATAGCACTGAACTATTCTTCAGGCAGGAGAGGCTTGTAAGTTTGTTTCTTGGATGCGTTTTGTGCTGGGGAAGCTTGTTGCCCTTAAATGCAGTTATCCTAATAAAAGGCATCTTGTGAAATACACTAAATCCATGTTTTCTCTTCCAGTTCAGCAACCAATCTTGGAACTACCGTGCAAGCCCACTAGCTCTTTTCCATTGGCCACATCTGTTAATATTCTGATAAGTTGACTCACCAGCCTATCCCCAATATCCACCCAGCTTTGGGTGATTCCATTATCTCCCTTGGTGAGATAAATCACTCACCCGCCTTGCCATGCCCAGTCGTTCACCTGCCCTTGCCTCAGTCATGATGAGATCCAGATGTTCCTAGTGCTGCATAATGATTGCCAGATGTTACTTCCACACTAAATCCACTAGAGCTTGGGAACTTACCCAGATACAAGCTCCCAGCGCCTGCCTCTGCCCTAGGGTTAGTCTGCTCTGAGCTAGGACGCCTCTCAGAATGGAGAGGAGCTGAGCAGAAATAGAGTGACAGAGAGCTTAATGAAGGGGTGTGTTTTTCCCACCCCTCTTTTGCTCAGCTAACTGCTGAGACCTTTCCTCCTCCTCTAGGGTGGCACAGGCCTATGTCAACCAAAGAAAGCTGGACCATGAGGTGAAGACACTGCAGATCCAGGCAGCTCAGTTTGCCAAGCAGACAGGCCAGTGGATCAGTATGGTGGAGAACTTCAATCAAGCTCTGAAGGTCAGTGGGATTCCTGCCTGAATGGGGAGACACTCTTCTCACACAGAAGCTTTCTGCTTATCCTGCAAGGATGTGACAGGCTTGGGTGGATGGTGGGAGATTCAGGGGCAGGAATCACAGGCTGGTTTATGGGCAGGGGGAGACATGAACTCATGACATTACAGCAAGCGAAACAGTCATGGATTGGCCATGGACCATGTGCAGTGTGTGCATGGCTCGTCTACTGCAGAACCCCTGTTAGTCCCAAATCTCTAGGCTTTGTGACTGGATGGTGCTGCTTTCCGGGAGGCTTGGGCTTTGGCATCACGTGCTTGAAAAGAACAGAGCAGCAGCAAATTCGTGGCTGGGTGTGGAGGTAATTGCAGGCAGAATACTGGAGATCCAGGGTAGTTGGTAGCAGCAGGCTGAGGGGTCATGCTGCCACCTGCTTTTTGTTTCCACTGGGTGAGCTAAGGAGCAGCGTGTGCTCCTGGGCACTCACCTTTGGCCATTCTGCTCCTCTTCTACTGCTGAAGTGGCCTGGGAGTGCAAAGAGAGGGGCGCTGCTGGCTCATCGTGTCAAAGGAAGGCGCCCGCAGTTCTGCATAAGCAGAGGGGGAGTTGTCCCTGTCTTGTGCAGAATCCAAGTCTGACCTACATAGGTATTCTTGTAGATTATTTTGCTACTTCAAGGGTGAGCTTCATGTGATACTATAGCTGTTGCAAAGCCAGAACAGCCCAGTCTTCCTCCACGAGCACCTCCAAGGGATTTGCAGTGGAGAAAGAAAGGCAGTGCCCGACCCTTTCCCCGTGTGTCTGCGTGCACTCCCTGCTTCCCTTGGCCAGCATTCTGGAGCCCCAGCTGCCTCGTAAACAGAGGCTTGGGCATCCTTTGGAATCAAAACTGCCAGCGGGGGGTGATGGGAACAATCAGAGATAGGATTAAGCTTTCCAACACTCCCACACCTTCTCCTGGGCAAATAACATTCCCTTCTGGAGGACTCTTTGCAAGGGAGAAGAAACTGCAAAGGAACATGTAACTTCATCCGTTTCCTCTTTTGGAAACTGCCTTGACACTGGAAGCCCCACCGCGGACGCACCGACCTTCAGCAGGAGTTGCTTCTCTCCTCCTCAGTGCTTGTGAGTGAGTGCTGTCCCTGTTCCAACAGCAGCCGCTGCCCAGTTGTGTCCTTGGCAAGCGTCGGGCGGAACACACATCCACTGCCTCTATCTCGTTGCAGCTGGCTATGCCAATTACTTCTGTCATTCCCACGAAGAGACCAGTCTGCTGCTTCCTGCACCGATTGGCTGCGTGCACCCAGGTCCCCAAATACCACTCGGTTTTGCCTTGGTTGTAAACAGTGTGTTCACTGGCATGGTGAACTAGAGCTGCGTGATGGGAAGCAGGTGCCAGCAAGAAGTTGATGTTTCAACAGCTGAAGTTAGAAGGGCAGATTGAATGGGGCTCTATGGGAAGTTCAGGGAACTTATGGGCGAGAAGGAGAATGATCATTAACCAAGGGCAGATTGGATGGGATGGGGTAGAGGACACAGAGCATTCTCGAAATAAAAAGGCCTTTTAGTGCATTTCTCCAAAATAGTTCTATTTTCTTTTAAGTCCCTTGATAGGATTTTAGTCCCACAAGCACAGTTCTTGCTATGTCGAACTCTGACATTAACCAGTTGGCGAGCACCACCTACTGGTCAGGGGCTGCCAGCACATTAGCTCTTCAAATGACAAGTTGGTCTGTGTTGGTGCCACAAAATCTCTGATGCATGTGGGGATAGCTGGTGGCATTCAAGCCCAAAAATATGAATGAATGAATGAAAGAAATGTGTGCCTCTACATATTTCCATCCTGAACAGGATGGACTTTGGGCTGACATTTCTACCCTAAACAAAAGAACAGCTTGTCACTGTAGTGTTTATAGCCTTGCACATAGGGAGTTTGATGTTCTGCAAGAGTGGATGCTCCTTAACGTAAGGGGCACTCTGACTGGTCTAATCCTGCCTGATGCTGGCAGAGTGCGCCAGTGACATGCTGCTCTTCCCTCCCTTACTTGTGGTTTGGCCTATTAAACTTGAGTCACCAACAAGTTGCCTGTGAAGCCTGATTATTCTTAATACAGCACTATCAACGTACGTGGCATTTTGCATGGCATTCTGAAGTATGGGAGACTGGGCCCTGTCAGCAAATAGATGAGGCAAATGTGGGCAAAGGCAGCGTGGTGTATTGAGAGGTTCAGCTGAGATGTGGATGAGCAACTATGGGCAGGCAGCGGGCGAGCTGTCCTCCAAAACCCCACTGCTGGTATTGTGCTTTGAATTCGGTTGCTCAAATGACAAGTGAACTGGAAAACTAGAAGATGTTCAGCACAGAAATGAGCAGTATGGAGAGACAGAAGACTGACAGTTATTTCTTCCCTCCTGGCAGGAGATTGGTGACGTGGAAAACTGGGCCCGTAGCATTGAGATGGATATGCGGACCATTGCCACAGCCCTGGAGTATGTTTACAAAGGGCAGCTGCAGCCTTCCACCTCCTGAAGTGGACACCTTCCTGTGGATCCTTGGCCCCTGCATAGCTTGGATTCCTTCTCTCATTTCATGTGACCAGCTGAGGGCACTCAGGTGGCAAGTTCCACACCTCAAGCCCTGACTAAAATTGGGTTGCTGCCTTTTGCTGCAGTGAATGAATGAGATTTCCCTTCCTCCTGCCACCCAGCTGCTGCGAGGGGTGCTGCTGGGCTTTGGGCTTTCACCTGGGCCTCTGAGCAAGTGCTAGCAGTATGTGGAGGTTCAAAGACCTGGCACAGGGTGAGAAGAAACGAACAGGCACATCACCATGAAAGACCACTCGTGCCTCTTCCAGACCAGTTTTTATCCATTGCTGCTGTGAGCTTAGAAAGAATGGAATAAAAACAGATGGGTTCACACTTCTCATGTGTTCGTGTGAGTCATTAAAGGGATTAAGGCCTGTATCTGCTGCCAGCCCCACCTTGGCAAGTGCAAGCAGGAGTGGCATCCCAGCCTCCTGTATCCAAAGAAGGCTACCACACAGAGATGGCGTACTTCAGAATGGGGTTGGCCAATGGCCAGTTATGCCTCCTAGCCTGGCCTCCTCATCCTCTTTAGTTGTTAAATCCTTCTCTGAAGCTCCTTTTCAAACCTTAACAAAGAAACCCTTCTCAGAAAGTTTGTCCTAATCTTCTATGATTTGGCATGCAGTACATGCTTGCTGGCTATTGGTGGATGACGTGGAACGGGAAGAGGGCCCAACCCGCCCTCCCTGCCCCCCCCAGTTCTGCCTTGCCCTTTCTGCTAACTTCTTGCACAGGAGATTACATGTATTAAAAAAGCCGAAGAAAGTTCCTTGTTCAGGGATGCTCCTCCATCTCGGCCTACTTCTACCTTTTTAGCAAATGTGCTGTTTAAGATTTACCTTTTCCACTCCCACCACCCTGTTAAAATGGGACTTTAGCTGGCAGATTTCCTGCTTCTGCTTCCCTCCGAGTACGTGCGCGTGTGTGTGTGTCCGCACACGTGTGCAGACCAACCTCCTGTTGGGGGAGCCCTTGGCTCAACAATACCTCTTAAGTATATTCGTTATAAGAACATTGAGGGTCACAAGATTTGGGGCAGAGCTTGTCAGTGGTTTTCCAGCTTTCCAAACACCCTTCTGATATCTTCTCCTTGGTATATTTTTGCATCCTTTTGTCCCAATAGCAGGCTTTGGGTGCTTGCAGGTGGAGATCAGAACTTTTCAGAAGACATTGTGCAGCTATTTTGTATCTTTTTTGACAGGTAACACTCGCATGCGCTCTCTCTCTCTCTCATTCCCCGTGTGTGTGTGTGTGTGTGAAGAAAGAGTAAGAAGACACCTTCCTTGCATACAGTTGGGGGTGTATTGACAGGTGTGCCTGAGTGCCATCCCTGCTGTATAGCTTTCAACAGAATACACACTTAGGTGTGAGCTCAAGAGGCACACTTGAACTTCTGTGAGGCTTCAACACTGGGTAAAGATCTGATTTGCCTTGCAGTCTTTTAAACCTTTTGACTCCATAAAGGAAGCCACAGCCTTGAATTTAGAACAGCTGAGCAGGGCTGTCACAGATGCTGCATTTTGGAGGGCTTTCTTTTCATTGGGTCGCCATAAGTCAGACAATTTGATGGCACATTACAACTTTTAAACTCTTATGGTTTAAGCCCCCTCAGAGTTCAAACTTTTTTAAAAGGAGGGTTTAAAATGGGATGGTAAAGGAACTCAGCTAACATTCACCAAGGGTGGTCCTTCTCTGCGCTTTTCTCCCCAGTTCTTGCAACTAAGGGTTTACTTAGGGATGGGCAGGGTGCAAAGGGGTTCAGAAGACACGTACTGAACATCTCTGACCCAGCTCATCACCTTCCTGTGGCTGCCAGTGGAAGAGGAGCAAGCTCTTACCTCTGGTGAACCCTGGCCTTGCGCAGTTTTCTTTACATACTTCACACGGAAGGGGAGGAAGTAATCAGATAAAGGGAATGGATCAAGTTCTGAACTTGTCTCTAGGGACTGAAAGTGCTTCCTGTTACCAAATTGTCCTGCAGAGGACGCTGCTCTTCTATCTGTAAAGAGCATCTCCCATTTTGAAATGCAGAGCGTGTGCTCATTGTGGGGAGGGGGAGATCCACTGCACAAATGGGGGTCATGAAATTTGGAGAATTCGGGCTTCCTTTGCTTACAGTAAGGTGGATAATTCAGACCTCTTCTTCTGGATCTTGTAATGAACTACTGTTAAAATGAAGGTTATTTTTCCATTTTTAAGGTCTCTCTTCCCTCCAGTTCTTGAAAAGTGCAAAGACGATGCCTTTGTTGCTGTTTGGCCGGTAGTTTAGAGTGATTGCTACATAAATGCACCTGGCCTGGTGATCCCTCACTACCTGATAGCTTCCCCCATTGCCAAGGGATAAGCACTGAAGTTGTGATTCGGAAAGAAGGGCCAATCCATTTGTAGGTAGCAGTGGATGAAACGTCCAGACCCACTGAGTCTGTATTTCTGATTATGACAGGGGAAGCCCAGGTTCAAAATTTCACTCAGCTGTGAAACTCACTGGGTGGCCTTGAACCAGTCGCATTCTTTCAGCCAAACCTACCTCACAGGGTTGTTGTGAGGATCGGTTGCTTGAAAAAGAACCATATTTACTTTCCGAGTCTTTTGGAGGAGGAATGGGATATAAGTAATGATAAACAAAGCTCTCCATTATTTTCTGAGTGCTTAACGAGTGGTATGTTTTGGCTGCTCTCCAATGCCTAGCATTACCTTAATCTGTTGCGCTATCTCTGGAGCAGGGCTCACGAAGGCCCAGCCCCTTTGTCCTGCATCTTTCAACATGTTTGTGTCCTCAAATAGAGCCCACCTTTTCCTCCCACAATGGTTCCTTAGCCCTTCTCAGGTTCCCAAGCGATTTAATTGGACTTCTGCATGTACGGAGGTAGATCGGGAAGACTTCCTTGCAGCTGCACCGAGAGTTAATGCTGGGCCAAGTCCCTGCCCCTGGGCGGCCACCATCAGGGGCTGCTGGGGGAGGGTTCCAGCTTTTCCCTCTCATGGACTTTGGCTAAGAGCAGAACTTTCGTCCACTCTGTACAGCAGCAGCCAAGCAGGATAAAGGGTCCAAAGCACAGCAAGGATTTACGGTTTCTGCTACTGCCGGAGTCTGCTGAGGCTATCAAGGCACACATTAAGTGAGAAGGTAAGGGAGACAAGAAGTGGGAGGCTGGCATGGCACGCGGTCCAGTCCCGGGCATTCCCTGAAAAGCAGGGAAACAAACCCTCATTTCACTCCTCTCCCTGCAGGGCTGGATGGATAGCTAATTCCTCTTGCAGTTGGAAGAACGGGGAGAAAGAGGGACAGAGCTGAAATCTGGGTATTGTTCTGATAGTCAAGTATCTCTTTTGTGTGCAAGGGAGTCCAAAGCTTGTTTGCACGAGATGAGAGCAGATTTGGAAATTCTGTTTCACACATTCCAGTGTTGGAAGAGGATAATATAATTGGTTACGGATGCTCTTTCAAAAACAAAAAGTTCAAATCTTAAGGGTCCGTGTCCTCTCCTGCTACTGTGTGTCTTTCAGTGATCCTGATTTCTTTTGCCCTATACTTGATTCGCATGATTTTGTTTGCCACCTTGGGATGTCTTCACAATTGTCTCTGAGGTGAACAGTCACTGGCATCCCTTTTGGTGTGCAGTCAGGGTGCAGGCCAATAGCTACCTAATTTATCTGACAAATTCCAGAGCACCAACCCTGAAGTCTGCTTCAGGTAATGAAACAGCATCCTCAGGAACCTTAAAGACAAATCTAGGCATTTACGTACCAGCTGCATTCTCCCTTCCTCTTCAGAACTGGGTTGGACCACAGTCTAAATACATGCAGAAGGTGTGTGTCTGGAGATATGGACTGACATGCAAAGTCTCTCTCAGTGGAAAAAAAGCAATGCAGATATTGAATCGGGTCTAAAGATGCAGCAGAAAGAGGTGGTAGGCTAAAACAGACAAAACACATGGAAGTGTGTGTATTTTGAAACTAAATATCCCTCATAGTTAAAGAGCTAGCAAATCGTGGAGAATAGTTTTGCTCACGGGGAAATTGTTTTTAATATAGGGGGATTTTTAAAATCTGCAGTCTAAATGGATCGATCTCAGGTTTCTCCCATTTCATGACACTTCTTTCTGTTTGATGTATAGACAAGACCTACATCCTCTTTCTGCAGATGGAGGGAGGGAAAGATTTCATTGAAGCTCTTTTGGATTCAAGCTGATGCACAAGTAGAGGGAAACCATGCCTGACGATGAAAGAACAGGAGGCATTGCTTTACTTTGAGAAAGCAGCTGTTAGAAGCTTTGGAACTTTGTTTCCCTGGAATATAGAGCTTGCTGTATCCAGCCAAGAGCCGTGATCCAGCCATCACTGCATCCGCAGCCATCCTTGGGCACAGTGACTCAGTTTGTCCTTGTGCTTCAAGGGAAGGTTCTGAGCTCATCTTTATCCCATCAGCTGAGGCTACATTTCACCTAAGGTTGCCACAAGGCAACTCAAACACCCATCAGACTGTGAGCCAAGTGCTGTCCCTGTGCTAGTGGACGTGGTCAGTGTGCATATACTAAATGAATTATTATGTGACAGCCAGAATGATAGTGTCTCTCTGAAAGACACAACAGACCCTCTTGTGGGACCATCCCAGGACCGATCTGAATGCACGCCCCAGTAGCCGTGATCCACTCCAGCCAGAGGAAAACCATGCAAGCGCTCCAGATCTTATTTGGGTGAAATACATATGGGTGAATTTACAGCACTTGTTAATGCATGCTGGCCTTTCCCTCCCCCTGGCCTTTCTCTCCCCCTGGCCGTTGTTTTCTGGAAGAAAACTTGCACTGGGTAATACGTAATCTGTAAGATTGGGACCAGGCCAGTTACAAAACTGGGTTATGAAAGCTCTCCGGTCCTGGAATTTTGGAGTGGGAGCAAATCCTCTAATTCGCAACCATCAGAGTTTCAGCAGCAGGAGGAAAGAGCGATCAATGGCAGTCAGCTGTGATAGTCATATATCACCCCCAGTATCAGAGATATTCCGCCTATGAATGCTGGTTGCTGGAAGATCCACAAAGGAGGGAATGGTTGTATTCATGCACTGTTTGCGAGTTGGTTGGACACACCGCGGGAACCAAAGGCTGACTAAATAGGCCTTTGGTCTGATTGAGGAGGGCCTGCCTCACATTTTTCTAAATAATAATCTGACAGAGGTAATGAACAGGACTGCTTTGATACCAACAGACTAAAGAAGACTCTATTCTAGATCCAGAAGCTTAGTTACAGCTTTTCCCAACTTAGTGGCCTCCAGATATTTTGGGCAACAATACCCAGTCCTGGCTATTGGACATGCTGACTGGAGAAGTTGGCCGCTGTACCCCAGCACAGGCTGGGGAAGACAGTATTAAAAGTGTGGCAATGTGATTAGGCTCCTCGATCCCATTTCTGAGCCTGGGAGAAAGAACTGATGGGCCTTTCGCTGTCCCTGCAGGGCTTCCGTGAGATCCCACCATGTGGTGCTACGTCGCGCTCTTCAGTTGTCTTTGGGCCGTGCTCTGGTTTTGGCGTGACCGACAGACTTTGAGCTCCTTCAAGGATAAGTATGTTTTCATCACGGGCTGTGACACGGGCTTTGGCAACCTGCTGGCCAAGAGACTTGACAAGAAGGGCTTCCAGGTGCTGGCAGGTTGTCTGACTCAGAAAGGGGCAGATAACCTACAGCGTGCGAGCTCGCCAGCCCTGCGCACCACCCTGCTTGATGTCACCAGCTCCGAGAGCATCCGCAAAGCGGTGGAGTGGGTGAAGGCAGAAGTGGGTGTAAGAGGTGAGTCTTTCCCTCCCGAAAGGGATCGGGGAGAAGGCAAGGCTGCGGCCTAGTCTATGTGCTATTGTGACCGTGCAGAGAGGAAAGGAAAAGGGCAGAATGTGGTATAGAGCTGAGAAGTCAGAAGCCGGCTGACCTCTCTCAGTGTTCTTCCCTCCAGCCTACAAGTCCCATAATCCCTCAGCCCAGCAGCCCTGATGATTGGGGCTGATGGGAGTTGTGACTCAAAATACCTGTGGAGGCACCGGATCGCTTACTTTTGGACTTAGAAACAGAGAAACAAAGTGGGTCAGAAGGGGCCTTCCAGGCCATCTAGTTTGACCCCTGGCTCCAACCGGCTCCATTCATGCAGTTCCCAACTTCTGCCCTTCTGGCTTTGGAGTTATGCTTTGAAGTGTGGCCAACGATTCTTGTAACCCTTAGAATGGTGACTAAGATTTTATCTTATTCTATTTTTACCCCACCTTTCTGCAAGGAGCCTGGAATCATGTACAGTGGGCCAAACAGACATTCCCCCCCCCCGCATTTTATCCTCATAACAATCTACTGTGAGATGGGGTAGGGTTCACAAGTGATTGCCCTGAGGTCATCCTGCAGCCTTCCTGGGGATATGAACTCGGTGCCTTAGATTTCCATTGCTCCGTGTAAAATAAAGCTTCACAATGACATGCACAAATCTGCATTATTTAGACAGGTTGCAGAATCTAACTTTTCCAGACACAAAAGTTGTGTTGCTTTTGCACAGAATGCTAATACTTACAGCAGAGACAACACAGAGCCCTAGCCAGAGAGTAGGTGTGTGGGACCAGAAAGCGCTGCTGTGTAAAGAAGACCGACGCCCGTGTAAAGCCAGCTGTTCACTGGGACATCAAGGCTCCAACGATGAGCAATCTTACGCCGGCCTTTAATTGGTAGAATGCGTCACACTCTGTATTGCGATCACAGCGAGGGGCATGAGTGGGGCAGACTTTTCCACAGCCTTACATCCTGCAGCTTTACCTGTAGGACGTTGGTCACGGCTCATCGGCAGAGCATCTGCTTCCCCCGCAGGAGGCCCAGGCTGTCTCTGGTGTCTCCTGGGAAAGCATGGGATGCGAGGCTGAGGACAACCCGGGACTGCCGTGCTGCTGGCAGTGAGAGCAGGCAGTAGTAGGGCTAGATGAGGGCCCAGTGGCCTGACTCTATAGGGCAGCCTCCTGCAGCATCTCTTTTCCCACTGTCCTCTCAGTGGCCTGGAGCACTGTCAGCGCGCTCCTTCCCAGCCACCTCCATTGACTCCATGGCCTGGTACATCAGGGGATGCAGGGCAGAGCCGGTCCTGCCATTGGGCAGCGTGACTGGGCAGCAGATGTGGGGTGTCACTAAAGAGCAGCAAAGAGTTATTTAACTACGTTACTGTTTTGTTGCTGACAAAAATGAGGAGGAAAAAGCTCACAAGCATTTCCCAAGTGCCAAACTGCTATACACTGGGCCTTGGGAGAGGGGTGCCATTTGCTGCTTCACGTCAGGTCCCAAGATGTTTTGAGCTGGCACAGACTTGGGATCAGGGGTGCAAGGAAGGCCAGGTATCTGTCTACTTGCATCACCATGGAGGGCAACAAAGGCATGAGCACAAAGACTTCAACCGAGGCAGAAACAGGTCACAGTTTGAGTGGCGAAAATAAAAGTTGTTTCCCTACTTCCTTGCTTTTCTCCTTCCACCCCAGGGCTCTTCGGTCTGGTGAATAACGCAGGCGTGGCCAACCCTATTGGCCCCACAGAGTGGATGAATGTGGAGGATTACCGTAAAGTCATGGCTGTTAATACTTTTGGGGTGATAGAGGTCTCCTTGGCCTTTCTGCCTTTGCTCAAGCAAGCACGTGGCCGTGTGGTCAACACCTCCAGCGTCTTGGGTCGCCTCTCAGCCAATGGCGGTGGCTACTGCATTTCCAAATACACTGTTGAAGCCTTCTCCGACAGCCTCAGGTAGGAGAACAGGTAGGGCTTTACTCCTGCTCATCCTGTGCTAGCTGCTCACTTTCAGTCACCAGTGGCATTTCTCACATTCACTGGCTCCTCCATCCATATGTTACTGTTCCCTCCTTTCCTTTCCTTTCCTTTCCTTTCCTTTCCTTTCCTTTTTCCTTTCCTTTCCTTTCCTTTCCTTTCCTTTCCTTTCCTTTCCTTTCCTTTCCCTTTCCCTTTCCCCTTCCCCTCCCTTGCCTCTAGGCTTTTATCCTTGTCTTCTCCCACTCTCTTGGTTCTACTGTGCATTTCCCTTCCTGGTCCCTCTCCCTTATTCCAGTAGTCAACTCCTCTTCTTTAATGTCTTCTCTATTCTTTCATCTTCAATCTTCTGTTCTCTCACATAAAAAACCCAGAAAGGTGCAGGGTAGAGGATTAAGAAGGGGAATAGTGTGGCCTCGTTTTTGTTATTTCCAGTTAGAAAGAGCAGGTCCTAGGGCAGGCCCCAAGTCTGGTAAGACAAATTGGCCCCTGCGCTCAAGGTTCCCATCCCTGTTATACAAGCTGAGTTTGACCAACAGCAAGGGGAAAAGAGCTGGAGGAAAACTTTATCTCAGCCCCTTTTCCTACTGGTGGAAAAAGAGCCATCTTTGCCTTTGGAAGGATGCCACTGAATTCAGCAAGACTTATTCCCAGCACTTTCTATATATAGGATTACAGTTCTAGCTAACCCGCCTGCCCCCCTGAGGCAACTAACATGTTGCTGCCAGCCTCTGCGCATTCGAACATGTTATAGTACAACACTGTATGCAATCCAGACAAGACGGAGGTTGAATCCAGACAAGACAGAGGTCCTGTTGGTGGGTGGCTCAGGCCTCGGGATGGGAAACTTGGGCCTTGTCCTAAATGGGGTTGCACTCCCTCTGAGGGACAGGGTTCGCAGCTTAGGAGTGCTTCTCGACCCTGAGCTGTCTCTAGAAGCTCAGGTGACGGCGGTGGCGAGGAGCGCCTTCCTTCAGCTTCGGCTGATACATTAACTGCTTCCCTTCCTGGAGAACGACTGCCTGGCGACAGTGACACACATGCTGGTAACTTCCTGATTAGACTTCTGTAACATGCTCTACATGGGGCTACCCTTGAAGACGGTCCGGATACTTCAATTGGTGCAGAATAGAGCTGCCAGGTTGCTGACGGGGCCTGGGCGTTGTTCTCATATAACCCCAGTTCTCCGTCAGCTCCACTGGCTCCCGATTGAAGTCTGGGCCCAATTCAAGGTGTTGGTTATGACCTATAAAGCCCTAAATGGCTTGGGACCTGGATATCTAAAGGAACGCTTGCACCCATATATGTCCTCCCGCCCCTTGAGATCAGCAACAGATGCCCTTCTCCGGGAATTCTCTGTGAATGATATTAGGAGGGTGAGTACCCGGAGGAGGGCTTTCTCTGCGGTGGCGCCCCATCTATGGAATGCGCTTCCCAGAGAGGTCTGCCTGGTACCGTTGTTATTTGTTTTTCAGCGCCAGGCTAAGACCTTTTTATTTAAAACTTATTTTAATTGTTAAATTATTTGTATTAATTAGGATTTTAAAATTTTTAGCCGAGAATGCACCGGGGGTTTTTAAATATTTTTTCTTCTTTTGTTATATTATTATTATTTTTGTATGTTTTATGTATTCTTTGTGAGCTGTCCCAAGGCTTTGTTGCGATGGGGGCGGCATAGAAATGTTTTAAATAAATAAATAAATAATAAAGTGTGTGGGACACACACAGAGAGAGAGAGAGAGAGAGAGAGAGAGAGAGAGAGAGCTCTGAATTCACATTCTTTTTTCCAGCCTTTCTTCTGCTGTTCCTGGATCCAATTATATGCAAAGAATTCAAGTGTGCAGTGTTCCCCGCTCTTTGCAAATGTCTGTCCTACAATTTATCATCAGATGTTTATGCTCGAAGCTCCTAAATATTTGCATCAACTTACTTCATTCAGGATTTGAAAGCAGTTTCTTGCTTAAACAGAAATCAAAATGTGCTCTTTCTCAGGCTTTAAAGTTGAGGTTACTTGTGAAGCAGTTTAAAAAAAAAGGTGAAAATCAGCTTGGTGTTTCACCATATCCCATGAGACGTGTTTTCATGAGATGCTACAAGTGCAAGGTGAATAGTTTTAAGTCCTTAACCTTCCAGGAATGGATATTTCAACTTATACTAGGAAAAGTAGGAAGCAGTTTCACAGACAAGTTTCTCTCTTTGTACTTGCTGCATATAGGATTGTCAACAGGGTTTCTGTGTCCTTAACAGGAGGCAGAAATTAACCAACGGCACTTATCCTGTCATGCAGATGTGATGCTAGGAAAAATTCAGTGCTGATATTATGCCAGGCATGCAAGAGTTAAAAGCATGAGAGGACTATTGGTTAAAAAAAAAAAAAGTGGATACACACCTTCTCCTGTGTAACACTTATGAAGTTCTCCTGAGCTGTAGTTTTCCCCTTAACATTCCATACAGCCACAAACAAGAGTCTGGTTTTATGTAACAAATGAGCAAACAGTGTAATTCTTGTGGTTCAGAACTGGTGATGTGGAAAGACTCCTGCTTTGCATGGGAGAAATGTGACCCTGGCATTTGCAGTGAAGAATACAGAAGCCCTCTCTTTCAGGAGGGACATGTACCATTTTGGAGTAAAGGTCTCCATTGTGGAGCCAGGCTTTTTCAAGACCGCCGTGACCAATCTTGACTCGATAGAGGCCTCATTGCGACAGCTCTGGGACCGCATGAGCCCCGAGACCCAGCAGAGCTACGGCAAAGACTTCTTCCCAAACTGTGAGTGTTTGTGCAGCCACAGCTGCTGGAGTGGAGGGAAGAGCCGGGTCTGTGCTCTGAAGATCAGGGCTATGAGCTGCACCAGCCAGTACCTCTTCTGAAGGTACAGAATAGGAAGAAATCCAAGCATCTTAAATGCCAAAACTCATGTCACAGTAATTACAGTGCACGTAAATGGGGTTAGCTTTTTATTTACTTTAATGTAGACACCTGCAACCCTAATTGGGACCATCATATATCACAAGGGGAAGGTTAAACCTTTTCCCTGTCACCCCTTTTTTCCTTTAAATTGCTCTCTCTGCAGGATAAAGGGGGGGTTAATACTCCCATTGTGATGGGTGGTAGTGGTCTTCCAAGTTGGTGTCCCAGACCATTCTATTAAATAAATGAACAGCTAATCCTCAGCTAAAAGCTGCATCATGACTCTTAACATGTAGTCCAGCATTCAATCCAAACTCTCGTGGATTTTCTGTTTTCCTACAACACATGTAGCAAATTCCAACCCTCTTTTGGTGTTTTGCCTTAAATCAATCCTTCTATTTCCCCACCAACCCATTGTTACAGAATTATTTACATGTACACCTCAGTACCTCGATGCAGGTTTCTGCACTGTTTGCAGCACCCGCACTGGTCTGTTCCAGAGGGCAGAGCTCCCTCCCTCCGCATGACATCCAAGCAGCTCCCACGGCGGTGGAGGCCAGGGCAGCGTATGTGGAAAGCCCCAGCAAATCTCCCAGTTTCTGAGGCCTGAGCTGGGCAGCTCAGGGATGGGGACATGAGCCACTTTCATAACTGGCTTACAAAACTTCATCTGCTTTTGCAACTGCTTGTTGTAGGTACGTTATTTAGGAGTATAATATTAGAGGAAAGCTGCTTTCTTGAAACTGCTTGCAAGAGAGGGAGACAGGTGCTGAGCGCCTACAACACACATTTTGTTGAAGCCAAAAAAAGAATCCTAACAAATGAGCTTGAGACAGAGATCCTAATTGGCCAGGTGCAAAGGCATTTTAATTTGGTTCCTGAAGCAGCTATACTAAGCCAAGGGTGGGTCTAAGGGGGACAACTAAGAGGAATGGAGGCATGTGCACCGTGTACCACAACCAAGAGAGGGGTCTCCCCCAACACCATGACCTCAGGCTACAGTGGGCTAAGTACTAAGCAAAAGGTAATGGGCCACAGGATGTTTTAAAAACTTTTGTTGACTGCAGTTCTTTGCCTCTCCACAGACCTGAAGGTGCAGAAGTTCATCATGAACATCATCTGTGACCCAGACCTCAGCAAAGTGACCGACTGCATGGAGCATGCCCTGCAGGCCAAATACCCTCGTTCCCGTTATAGCGCTGGCTGGGATGCCAAGTTGGTGTGGTTGCCAGCCTCTTACCTACCTGCCTTCCTGGTGGACATTGTTCTGGCTGTCATTCTCCCCAAGCCTGCCCAGCGGGTCCGTTAGACTCCAATGCCTCTTCCTTTGCCCAAACCTGTGATCCAACTCTCAGGCAGACCACATTTCTAGGCAATTATGAGGAAATAAAAGATGCAATCATTGAAAGAAAGCCACTGCCCAGCCAGCTTCTCTTCCATAGATCAGAGGGAGTTTCTGAGACTCTAGAACATGCTATTATCAATCGCACCAACAAGAATGGGCACCCAGCCCATAGAAGGAAAAAATTTCAGGCACAAAGAATGAGGGACTGGTTAAGGAAAATCTCAGCCGCTGTAGCCGTGTAAAACATACGGAGCAGAGGAAGGGAAGGGAATAAGAAAACCAGTGCCAAAATAAAAGGAACAGATTAAATGGATAGCGCATGGGAGAGCAGGGGATATTGCAGAGGTGACTGGTCAAAGGTTATAAATCTTTCTGAGTCATCCTGTCTTACAAGGAAGTCCTGTGTGTTTGGCATGAAAGACTCAATATTACAGGGTACAGAAAATCAAGTTATGCAGGACAGTTGGCTTTCCTTGGGAACCACAGTCTCTCCCCCACAGCATTTTCAAGTGTCCGCACAGGGCAAGGGAGTGCCAGCAATGTTGAGCAGGAAGCTTGTCTACCTTTATTACTGACCATATCATTGAAGGCAGTACCCCCAGCAAGCATCCAAAGTACTTCAGGGATCCCCTGGACCACAGCTTGAGAACCAAGACCTTGTAGCAACATTTTGGTCTTTTACTGGGAAAAGGGACAGATAAATTTAGTAATCTAACATACACACATGAAGGTAAACCTTGCTGGATTTCAGCAGTTTAGATCCTAAACCTATAGAGTGTGTGTACATATTCCTCACCACTGTGTATCAGAGCATGCCCCTTACATAAATCCATAGGTAGAAAGACACACATTTTCAGGTAAGTGCACACAGAGTTGAGAGGCTGGGGGAAGGGGAAGAATCTCCATAAGGGTAAATGGCGTATGACCCAGAAAGAGGGAAGGACCAGCTCTGCATGAACTACCTTGTTTTGGTCCAAAACCTCTGGCAAGGTTGGCTGCTGAAGTGCAGAGTTATCTTTCCAGCTGGGCAACTCCATTCAGAGAGAGGGAGAGGGAGAATAAGGCTTAACAAGCATTGGAAATCCTAGTAGAAATGTACTACTGTGTTTGGCACCAGTTCAAAAGGAAACAAAAAGGCATGGCTTATTAGTCACATGAAAATGCTAGAAGTAGGCTACATTTTGCATTGCCTGAAGAATCATGACAAGAGTAAAATAAAAGGACTTTATATGCAAGGGTGATACACAAGTTTTCTGTGCTCTCCAAGGCAGTTGCTGTTGCCTTTCCTGTGACCTTGCCATAAGGTAATTTCAGCTACACAGAAGTTCCTTATTACAGAACTCAGCCTATTGTGGAACTCAGCCTAGTTTTCCATCCTCACTTACAGAGCAGGCTAGCAGTGTAACTGGCAGTATAACCGAGAACGTCTGGAGAAGAGAGCGGGGACATTGCAACTGTGATGGAAATTAAGAGGAAGTGCATCACTGACCTCCCAGTGGTGCCAGGTAGAACTGTGAAACATGGCTGCAATCTTTCCACTTTGCAGAAGTGCCTGGAAAACTGAATACAGGTATTCCGCTAATGGCTCCAAGTGACTAAAGCCCTACTAAAAATTAGAGCAGGCAGGGACAGGTCCAAGTTATGGACTGGCAAGTTGGTGACTGGGAGATATTATATACTTCAGCTTCTACCGACCACAGCCAGCATGGCCAGTCGTCAGTTTAAGGCAGCTGTACCGCAAAACATTTGGAGGGTACTGGGTTGCTTGGCCTCAATGCATGCCTATAGTTAGGGCCGTCCACACTTCCCAATGAAGGGAACATCAAATAAACATCAGAAATGTGTGCATAAATATAATGCGGCATACCGAGCACCCAGGAATGGACGATACAAATGTAAAACCGTGACTCTACTACACAAACCAGTCAGGACACATGGGAGAAACTATTTCCTTTATTTTACAAACAGTGATTTACTGGCTTAAAAAAAAAATTGAACAAATAATTTTCCAACTTATCATGACCTCCAAAATAACATCATCTATTTGATCCAAAAGTCTGCCTTTCCAAGGGAGAAAAGGAGCATCTTAAAAGAACAGGACTGCCTACTTTCTAGGAGTGTGGTATCAGGGAAAGGTGCAGCCAAGAAGTTTCCTTGAAGTGAATTTGGGGGAAATGACAGTTCAAGGTTGCCTGCTCTCCCTCATGAGGAGGCTAGGAAAACTCTTGGGACTACAATAGTTGCCTGTCTCCAGATGCCCAGTAGGTGGCATACCAAAGTATGACATGGAAGGCAATGGATGTTTCCAGGATGACCAGGCAGGTAGGCAGTGGAGCGAAAAGGAATGACGAAAGAGAGATAAGGCAACATGTGAATCCTTTGAGGGCAGAGTATATTTTCAGAAAACACAACAAAAAGTGGAGAAATCCACCTGGCCCTGTTCCATTGGCATGCGATGGTCAGTTGCATCATCCCCAGAAGAGCAGACAAATATTCCAAACTTTACAATTGCCATAGCAGTAACCAGATGTGCAGGAAGAGAGGTGGCTACATAACCTCATAGCCACTGCGAATTCCTTTCATGAGGCAGCAAGCAAAGATGATGCCCAGGAGCTGAGGGGGGGAGAAAAATACCAGAAATTATAAAATACCAGATTTTCTCTGCAGGGAGGGAAAAGTTTCACTTATACGCAGACCCTCTAAGGAAAAGAATTTGGATATGGAGAAAAAGCTAGCCTTGCAACTACTTCCCCCACCCCTTCTCGGAGTATATCAGAAGTTCCTTCATCCCTTCACCTTTGCCTAGCTCCTCTCCTTGCCTGCTCCCAAAGCACTGCTGACATCTCCACTGAAAGCCTTTGAGCAGCCCAGAGGAGGAAGTGGTGCAACGAAGACTTTTGTTGCTTGAGGCTTGCAGCACATTCATCCTTCTGTCATCCATCCTCAGGTTTTTGTAGCTTTTCCAACACCACAACATATTGTTTGATTAAAGAGAATGGGAGACAAGGTGTGTGCACAGAGAAAGCAGCCTTTATTGGACTACTTTCTGAAGTATTACAGTGCACCATGTCTCCAGCTCAGATAGCTAAAGATTGTGGAAAAGCTGGTGAAAGAAATAGGCACTGCCCAGTATTTCTTCTTCCCGCCTGCAGCCAAACGAGCCACAATTGGCACAATGAGTTAGGGGGACAGGTGCACCCCCAGGACAGGTGTAGTCACTAGTGTTCCCCTTGGTATTTGCCACTGAAGGAAGGCTATTGCAGAAACCTGGTTGAGATGCTTTTGGTGCTTTGGTGTCAGAGTGTACTCAGAATTTTAATGGCACCCCCTCATGCAAACATGGCGTGGTTAAGTGCGGTAACCTTTGTTTCTCATTATACGACCACATCAGCACTTTGAATAGACACAATTTAAGCCGGCACTCAAATGCAAAGTTGAAGTTGTTCTGCACCACCACCTGTGAGTATATTTTACACTCATCAACATTTTCTAGGAGGCAACCTTTTAGGAGCATTTGACAACTGAACATATCTTGCACCCAGTCTTGCCTTGGGGGGATGGAAGCTGTAGTCTAACTGATCTGGTGGGTACCATGTTGGACTACAAGCTCTCAGGTGATAGAAGAACACTCTCTCAGTCCCCAGAGACATATTAAGGATCGAACAGAAGCCCCAGCCATGGCCTTCCTTTGCCCCACCAGCTCCAGTCAGAGGACTGCATGAGCCTTCTCCCAACCTTTCTGCTTGACCCCATTTCTCTGCATCTTGGGGAAGGGCAGGCATGGGATTAAGGGATGGTGACTGGCCCAGGAAGCCTGAGCTGCCAAAACCTAAAAAAGTACAGTGATCAGTTCAGAGAGCTCCACTGCATCAGTGCAAGTCTAGTGCCACAATGCCAGTGGTTGCTGCTAGTTGTGAGTCTTGCTGCAAGTCCGATCCAATCTCATGGGAACTAGTAAGGTAACTTGAAAATTATAGGCAGAGTTTTAGTCTTGTACAAATCTGTATCTTTTCCTTGCAAAAGGGTTGTACTAGTCATATCCCTTGGCAAAGCTCCAAAGACCCTCAATTGTCTTTGCCTAAAATTCACTGCAAACAGAAGCTTGATTTTGATCAATCGATAATACCAAATACGAGAGATCGGGGTAAGAAGACACACCCCTCTGTCTCTGCATTGGGTTACAGCTAGCCCAGACTGCTATAACTTGGTTGCTCCTGATCCCACCCACCTCATCTTCCCCACTACACACACAGTCCCACCTGCTCAAGCCTGTACAGCCCCTTGCAGGAGTCAGCGGCGGGCTCCGTATGGCAAGATTCATCACTGACTCCGCGCAGATGTGCCCTCTGAGAAAAAGCAGCCAGTTCTTCCCAAGGCAGTTCTTGGGCTCCCAAGTCTGCACTAGATTGCCAAGCCAGCAGAGTAACCTGCCGCTGTTGGGAGAAGGTGGCACTCGCCTCTCTCCCCAGGGAATGCCACCTGCTCAAGGGAGACTAACACATTTCTGCTCCCCACTGTAAAGATTCTGAGCAAGGGCAAAGCCACGTGTACCATTCAAGGTGTTACAGAGTACTCAAGTGGACACCCAAACACACGGGATCTTTAGGGGTTTCCTTCAGTCCCCAGACCAGAGGGACATCGGTTGTGTCTGCACGGATCAGTTGTGTCCCCCCCGCACCCCACACACACACACTTTGCTGCTTTTAGCTGAGCCATGCCGGCCACTGAGAGAGAATGGGTGGCTGTCTAGGTACCTTCACCTGATCCAGCCAGCACAGGCTATGCTGCACGGGTGGGTGTCCCCGCCTCCTGACCCCTGGAGGGCCCCGTGTCCCCTATCCCTGTTCCAGACTATACAGCCCGTATTTTTGTGCAAGACAAACATTTTGACTTTGCTATTGTGGCTCACTATGAGAACACCACATGCAATTTTCATCTGGGGGAAGGCCATCTTGAAGATGTGAGGCACACCTGAGGAGGCATGCGAGCAACGCTTGACGAAGTCTGAGGAGCCGGCAGGAGCTGGGTTGAGCCCTGCACGGCTCTTTGCTCTTCCCCACAGACTTCTGAAAGCAGAATCATATCAGTATTACACCCACAGTATTTATCCTGTTGGCTGAAGAATTCAGTTTTACAGGATACAAAACCACAAACAAGCAAAAACACAAAAACAGGACAACCAAAACCCCAAGGTTGCCCCAGCATGACAACAGCAGATGTGTGTACATGCATAGCTCCCTACGGAGTGTTTTAATCCTCTGTACCTCAAAGAAGGCAATGCCCAGCGCCACTGCAGCCACAATTATGATGTGCTTCCTCAGCCAGTCCTCTATTTTCGTCACACAGCCCTGAAGGGAAAAAAGACGGGAACGGTGTCTTACAAGCTCCAGAAAACTCAACCGCAAAACTCTGGAAAGAGGCCCACGTGTCCCATCACTCCCTCCTACAAACCTCGGTATAGGTGTTGTCATTGTTTGGGTTCTTTGTGCAAGTGGTGTTATTCTTGCAGCACGACTGAGGCACACTTCTGGGGGAAAACCCAGGGACAGCAAACCAGTCGGTGTAATTAGCGGCTCCACAGCAGTTACTCTACAGGTGGGGAGGAGAAGAACATGAGGAAAAAGAGAGAACTTAGCATCTTCTAAAATTTTTAATCAATTGTCTGACTCTCATAGAAGAGGAAATGGCTATTTAATGTATTTATTCTTGAGGCCTACAAATCAAGCTGCAATCAAAGGCCAATCAGGCAACTGCCTAGCAAGTACCCAATCCAGCTTAGAGTCTAATATTCCTTCCACTGGATCATACTGCCTAGCTGAATGACATATCAAGAATATACCTCAAGTAGAAGAGTGTGGAATACTGGTTTAAGTGGGACAAACAGAACAGACAAGAGCAATGTTTCACATGAAGCATCACTTATAAAATTCACTGTCATAGGAGGTAGTGAAGGCCACTAACTTATCAAGGGGTTTAATGTTGACAAGTTCACGGAGCAAAGGTCTACCATTGTCGATTAGCCATGACAGTTAAACAAGTTCTTCATTTCCACTGGAAATTAGGCCCCTGAATACCAGATATGGGTCAGTGATTAATTGGGTTTTTTTTAAAGTCCACTAACTTTACCAATTTGCAATCTAGTTTATTATGCTTTTGATTCTGTTTATTAAACTTTTTAGGAAGTATGAGAGGATAAATTCTATGTGCTGTATTAAATATCTCAGTGTTCTTTCTCAGTGGCCAATAGTGTTCAGAAAAAATGTCAATAAAGCACATGATGCCATTTAACTGCCATCTTCAAGCACATACAAAATGCTACCATGGGTGAATTTCCCTGTGGGGCGTCTTGTTGTGACATCTGTCATGCTGAATAGTCAAAGTGTGGTGGGGCTGGACTATAGCCTTCTGTCACCAAGTCCAAGCAGGTTGTGGTGATCATGCAACCCAGCTCACTAACCACATGCCAATTTTAGCAGCCTGAACTGTGCAAATGCATAATTGCTTCCTAGATAAAGTCATGTAAGAAAGCTTCTGCTTTGCAGTGGATACAATGCCCATCAAATTTAAGACCAGTTGTCCACTTTGACGAGTATGCTGCTCATTTGTTACACGAATTCATTTTATGAAAGCAATCCTTTGTAAAAATGAGAGGTTTTCTTCATGAAACAATATAACAGTAGAAAGCCATTTGGTTTGGAAAGCCTTTTCTACTTGACATAACTGACACTGGGGTTTCATGCTTCACAGGGGCTTCTATGCGCCCCTGCCTGGCTACCGCTGGGAGACAAGATCCTCGCTCTGATCCAGCAGGCTTTCCTGGCAGCACAGTTCGTTTCTGACTAGGAATGAGGAAACCCAGTTTCAGCCCTGAAGCTCAGTGGAAGGCTTTGCACCAGTCATCATCCTCCAGTTTAAAATGGTGAGCAGAACGTTTGAGGCTACAATACTCAGCATTCCTGACATGGTCATTCTGAGGATAAGATGGGAGGCTAAAGAACCATGTGTTCTGCCTTGTGTTCTATGGAAAACTGATGGGATATCGATGTGATACATCGGGGAAAACCATCCAGGCAGCTAAAATCCAAAGTTCTACTTACAGACAGACACACACTAAGAGCGCTAAATGTCACTTACAGTTAAGTGTGCTTTCGAAAACAACCTCTGAGAGGACATGGAAGGTCTGCTGAGAAGTAAAAATATCCAGCTGGGCCAACCCAGGCCCTTGAGAATGTTTAACATAGTTTGGTTTTATTCCATGCTCTAATAATGGGATGTCTTGCTTAAAACTGATGAACAAGTTGGATACCATACTCTTAATTGTTTTCTAATAGTTAAGTCCACAAAGCGGGTCCCGTGTGGCACTTACATGCTTCTGCAGGTCATCCAAAGTAGCAGCAACCTTTGAATCGTTTCGGTAGTGCAACATTTCTTCCCTAACTTCCTTATCAATCACGGATTTGATCTGGGAAAAGAAGAAGGTGATAAAGATGTTTAAGGCTCATGGGGTTTGACCAACACCCAACACGAATGATCAAACAGTCCTGAGGAAGTTCTCCCAGCCCTTTGTGAGTAACAAGGCTGACTTCTGGATGCAAACTGTAATGATGGCTGGCAACTTTAGGGTCAATCCACTGAAGGGTTTTACCTATAGGTATTCCACCTGACCTTCCCTAGGGAGTTTCAGCAAGAGTCTGAAGGCAACAGCAACAAAGAGAGATCTCTCTCACCTTGTCCTTGAAGATGTAACCAGCAATGGCAGCTGCAATCTCCACCAGGAAGATGATTGTCAGCAGGACAGCAAACTAAAGGAGGAAATAACACATTTAAATGCCTATGAGCACTCCTTGAGTCCCATTTCCACCACACCCTATCCATTCTGTGTTATACAATACAGAGCCCACCTTCCTGAGACCAAGATTATGCCTGCTCAAGAAATAGCCCTACCCTAGCCCTAAATAGGAGGGTATTTTGTAAAAACAGTGTCTCTCTAACTTCCTATCATGGCAGACCCAGTCAGAGAACACAGCACCCATTCCTATTCAAAGACTCCAATTTGTACGATGAAGCCATTCGTCACCCTGTCCCAACTTCTAATGTTCAAGTTGGAAGAACAAGTAGACCATCCCTCTGTATCACAGCCTTACATTTCTCCCTAATTCTGTCAACGTCTTCCGGCTTAGAAACTTCCCTCCTTCCTGTGTCATGGGACCCACTGGTATCTCCCAATGGCAGATGACAGAATTTCTTGGGCCCTCTATCCTTTGCTGTGCTAATGCCCTTCAAATACTCATCCACAGTGTGCAGCTATACCTGCACCCAGCTTCTTCTGGGTTATTTGCACTTCCCCTCAAAAGAGGCCGATGAAGGCATAAATGTAGAGGGACCTACTAACATTCAAGAGCATAAAGATCGCTGGGTCATTTGGGGACCAGCTAACCTTTCCCCATAGCTGTGCTCCATTCATCATGCACTGTGATGTACCATTCTTGACCAAACCTCATTAGATTTTAAGTGAGCATGCTAAAGTGCACCAGTAAATTGTGCGGTTATTGATTTAACTGTCAGCACTTAAGCTGCTCTGCATCATTCCCAGAGCATACTTTTCTTTGGCATAAAGCTCTCTCCATAGACCAAACCACAGAATTTCTCTAGACCTCCCACCCATAGTATCCTCTGTGTACCAATGCATGGCAAGAGTATCACAGTATGACTTATGGCCATAACTCAGTGGAAAAGCATAGCATCAGTTCTGGAATCTCTAGCCCAAGATGGCTGACAAATTGACTGTACAGTGTATATTCTTTTCAGTGCCAGGTGAAAACCTTTACATTTGTTTTAAAATTACTGATTTTAGAAGCTAGCAGTCACTTTTTAATTTTATCAGACTGTATTTTTCTTACTATTTATTATTCCTATTTATTGTTAATACACTGATGTTTTATGGTTGTTTTAATGTTGGAAGCCATCCTGAGATGTTGTCATAAAGGGCAGCATATAAATGTTTTAAATGAATAAAGAGATAGATCTGTAACCAGGCAAAATATAACCTCTGCTGCACGGCCTACTTATATTCCCCTATTTCCTGAGCTCCAAGGAAATACAACAAGAATTAGTGCTGGAGCTGGGTCAATATGCTATGTCCATTCTGGCAGTCCTCCAAATCTAACCCCTCACTTGCATCCAACAATACCAACGCCCATTCCAAAGCTCTACTTCATTCTACAGCATTCCCTCACCGTTGTAACCATGCAATAGTTCTCTTTCATTGCACCACAGCAACCAAAGAAGGAGATGAAGAAGACTATAACGCCCACAACCAAGATGACGATGGGGGCACCGGAAGCAGAGGCAGGACTGGTCATCACCAGTGTCTTGTTGAGCTCAATCTGTACATATATCCCCAGGACAATCAGAGCAATGCCACAGAGCTGTGTAGGAGAAAAAACAAACCATTAGTATTGCAAGGATTAGAATAACGGAGTTGGAGGGGACCTAAGTCAATGCCCTACTTGACTCTCAGAGGGGGACAGGAAAAACAATTTTGAACGGAGAAGAGAAGGCTTATGCTCTTGCGGCAGAGTGGCTACTGCATTTAGGAACACACCCACCTGAGTTTTTTTTTTAAGCTATCCCTGAGGCATGCTATGGAACAGTGTACGCTGAGGGGAAGCCCGCCATCTTGCAGGTCTGGCAATGCCTGAGGTCTTGCAGCCCGCCTTCTCTGCATGCAGGCCAGGACTAGTACTTGGATGTCAAAGTCTATGCCGGCAACCTCTGCCTGCATCTATCTTTGCAGTGTTCCTAACAAACAGGTTTGAAGGCTAGGGAAAATGAGCCTTGCCATTATCTAGCAGCCAATTGTTTGTTCCTCTGCCTCAGAACAGCACTGAAGGTGGGAATATATCTGAAACATCTGGTAAGTAGCCAACAGAATTCCTCTGTGGAGCCAGAAGATATATCCCATCCAATATAAACACATGGGCCTACCTCTGATTATTGCAGCCATTTTGGCGACATGCAGTTTATGTCAGTAGGAAATGCACAGCTTCCTAAAACGTGATACCCTCCTGCACAAACTATCTAGGCTTATTTTTCTAGACCCAAATTGGGGGTGGTGGGGGTGGTGTCAGTTTTTAATGATGAAGATAGAAAAAATATTAGTTACACAAGTGACATGGTGGTTTTTTAAAATATAAAACAAACTTAGAAATATGAGGCACATCAGAACCTTTTTCTTGAAACAGGAAGGGGTAAATAGCAAATCTAGGTTTAAAGATCTGTTAATTTGGCAGATGAATTGGTTGGGACAAAATATAGAAGACGTCAAGCAGAACTGTAGGTATCAGTCTTATTTTACTAAACATGAAAATTGAGAACAGCTCGCTTAATGCCTAATTATCAATCTACATAGAATTCCAGCTTTCAGAACAGGTCCAGCATTATTTTTGCAGAACAGACCCTCTTAAATTTAAAAATCTAGTTGTTTTCTTTGCTACAGTCCAAAAGTTCTTCTCCCTGAAGTTTTTTTAAAAATATATATTCAGTCAGAATTGATCGGGTAACTCTTCCTTACAATGGACAAGTGCCATATATATTTCTTACTTATTATAAATCCATGTATTTAGGGAGCTTTCAATGGTTTGATTCACAAAACAAGTCAACCTATGCTCCACATTCAAATTGAACCATTGCTTGTGAAAACATGGGCTGTTGTCTTGTGTAAATCCTGCTGTAGTTTTTTAAACTATGTATAATCTACAAAGAAAACCCAGGATTTGTTGTTGGATTATAAAATGAGTGTTGTTCATGATTAACAAAGTACGATTCCTTAGCACTCCTGGAAACACAGCAATCCATGGTTCAATGGTAACCCACACTGAATGTTGTGTGTGCATTGTCAAGTCACATGAACCCAGTCAATAAAAGCTACACAAAGGTGACAAGAGAACACATGTAATCCAATCCCCCCTCCCAAGAACTGAAAAGGAGTCTCATTTACCAAAAAAGCTAGAAGAGAGGTTCAGGAAGCAACTATAATTCTACTCCAATCAAAATCATACATTCCACCAGGCTGAACTAAAAAATGTTGCATTTTTAACACCCGGATTTTCACATCATGTTGTCCTTCCCTAACTGACACCCTATTAGACAATGACTGGGTTCACACTTCAAACAACCCATCATGGGTAAGATGACAGAGCTGTTTGTTACATCAAGCAAACCGAGACCTGTGTTTATGAAAACAAGCTAGCCCAACCGCCCATTGGCTTGTTGGATGACATCTACCATTGTCGGCCTACCAACCTCATCATGGGTAGCAGGATGCAGGTAGCAAGGCACTCGCCAAGAGCCACAAAAGACCCCCAACACATGCCCTTGCTGAGCTAGTCCAGGCTACTGCCAGCCACCCCACCTGTGCCCAAGAGGCAAGGTGAACTGACCGGCACTAGCTCAGTGCGTGCCACCAGGATCACAAACTATTTTGTGCTTGCCAAGGCTTTTTCCTCATCACTTTACCCCCTTTTTAGGGGCGAACATTTTCAGAATCTGAAAGCCCTTTCAAAGAGCCTAAGTGGCACATCGGAAGCACTGCCATAGTTGGACATCTCCTTATTTGTGCCACAAGTGAGAATTCCTATTTTTTAATGCGCACATCAGTCCATGGGTGTGGAATGGCAAGCCTTGCCTTGGCGATGCCCTGGGGGTAGTACTTGCTGTCAAGAGGCAGCCTTCATGGACCCTGACCAAGAGATGCTCCCAAGAGCATTATTTCAGTTCACTCTAGTTTCTCTTAAATGAATACGCCCCTGTGGAGAAAAAACCATGGGGAGCACTGTCAAGACGCTTTCTAAAAAGGAACATGAGTTGTGACAGCTAGCTGTCAAACCTCAGTAGAAAAGGGTTAGTACTCTTGTAGAAAAGGGTGGCTTGTACTTTTCCACCTTCCCAAGCACCCAGAGTCTTGGGAGAGGGTGCAAAAGTGAGATGAGACTCACATGAGTCAGGTCCAGACAAGACAAAACAAAACCCTTGAGCATCTCACCTCAAGGAGGAGATCTACTGATCACCCCCTCTTCCTGAGTAAAGTTCACTTACAGCTTTGGTTCCTTTTGACAGCTTGTCTTTTGATGTCTCTTCTGAGGAGACGCAAAGGGGATCTTATAGTGACTTACAAGTACACGAAGGGGTGAGACGAGGTAGAGGGTCATGACCTGTTCTCCCCTGTCGTGGAGGGAAGGACACAATCCTATGGAGCAAAGCTAAAGGAACTGGGTTTTAGGATGGATGCCAGGAAGGACTTCCTGATGATTAGGACCCCTAAGATATGGAATGGGCTCCCATGGGAGGTGACCCCCATCAGTGAGGGAGTTCAAGGAAAGACTGGACACCCACATGTTGGATATTATATGAGCAGAGCCGGCTTGTGTCGGGGATCACATCAGATAGCCCAGGAGGCCTCTTCTGACTGGCTAATTTTCTGTTTCTATCCTTTTACACTGCAGTAGCCTGACTTTAGATAACTTCTGAAGCCAGATATATGAGTAAGCTGATTATTGGTTTCCTTTCCTTAAAAGCAAACAAACTTGTCTAATCTCACAAAGGTTCTGGTTGCACTCGGCAGCAGCACAACTCAAGCACAGTCGCAACATTAGCTATCAGGATAGGTGGTCATGGAGTGGATGGAAGGAAAGAAATCCAATGGCATTCTGTACGCGAGCCACAGCCTAAGCCTGGTCACATGTTCTTAAACACTTCCCTGTTCTTTTGGTTAAAGATATACTAGCAGAACATAGTTGTGATAATAGGTCACCATAATTAACAGCCCAAAACAAATCCCAGCTACACTGTGCAAAATGGCAGGCTGCGTACTGCACCTCAGCATTTACATGGGGCATGAGAATCCAGGTGCACCCACTCACCCCACGAGTTGCAAAAGACCCCCTTGCTGGGGATGGGGCTCCATGAAAAATATAAGGTCCATGAATGGTGACCACAGGGAATAGTTTTAGAACTGAGACAAGTTTAGAAGTTATCTACTGAAGCAGGAACAAAATCAGGACCAGCTCTGGTATGCAGAAACCTTTAGAGCACATGCAAGGCCAGGAGTGATGAAGCAAAGCTACAGATGTGGGGACAAGAAAGGATTTCCCTTCGGCCTAGATCTCCAGAGCACAGAAGCTCCCTCCCTTGCTTGTTTCACCACCCACTTCCCAAACAGTTGGTGGTGCGCTTCCTGGAGTGGCTGTTTACTTTGCCCTATCACAGCAGGGCAGACCCACCAAGGCAAAGAGACCCGGCCTACTTCCAGATGGCAAACAGTTCTTCCCCATGGTAACAAGCCCTGATCTTAGGAGGCAAATAAGAGATATTAAGTCCGTGACTCTGCCCGATAAAGCACTGGGTGTTGTGTAGCAGAAAAACCTACTCACTCAAAACTGGGGTAAGATGGGATTCACAGACTTGATTTGGGACAGGGGGGTGGGTGCAGAAATGCCACACAAAAGGAAGCATTAAGTTTTGTTTTGCCACCGATGCTCATACTAGCCCAATTTGCTTCTTCCTTGAGTATCCTGTTCCATATCCAATCTTGTTCATGAAAATTCATGTAATTCTACAGACCAAGATCCCATACTAGAAGGGCAGTAGGGCCATGGTGAGTTTGTTTTGCAGGAATGTTTCATTTCTATTTGCCATTCCTCTCTTCTTCCCTGAAGGCAAAGACACGGTCTCTAAATCAGGGAGGGCAATGTGCAACATTCCAGTTATTTCGGCCTGCAACTCTCATCATCCTTCACCACTTGCTGGGCTGGGCTGGGCTGATGAGAGTTTTAGCCAGGCCTCCGGGGGGGGGGGGCACTTCAATTTTTAAGACTCTCCTGGTATATTAAAAAATGAAGAAATGCCAAACCAGTATTAACATTGTTACTTTAGATGTTTACATTTAATGAATTAACACTTTTGACACAACATGCAGTGTGATAATTTGTAATCTGTGATCCTTCTTTATTTAGCAAATGCTTTTCTAGCTTCTTTCCTAGTGCAAATTTACCAATTATTGTAGTAAAATTTCATTTTCTTATGTCACAGCTGTTATGCAACTTAAAGCCACTCAAATTATCTTATCCCACAGATGAGCCTCTTCAGCACACTGAAATCCGAGGCCCTCTGGGAGTGGGAAGACCAGGCCAAATGGGCTTCCTGCCCCCCAGTGAAAGGCCATCCAGTATTTTGGCTTACAAGTTCTCCATCTCTGGCCCAGGTGAAAGGAAACATGTTCCTATTTGCTCCAGAGAAGAATCCATTGACAAAACAACCCTTTCTGCTTTTTGGTGAGGGAGAGAAGATAGCAGAATGGTCCCAGTGGAGCTGCCCCTGACAACAGAACTGGGAGGGGGAAATTCCCCTTCTTCCCCTGCAGCCCCCACAT